TTGGGAGTGAGCTTAGACGGATTGCGGGCGGGTGGGTAGCTTGACCACTTCCCCTACCCCCTCCTCTGGACCTGGACGGGGGGGGGCGCGGGCCGCTGGAGCGTCCAAGATGGCCTCGACGAAAAGACAAACTTCACGAATTGCTTTCCCCGCATGCTTCTACGCTTCCTTGCAAGCGCCTTCTGCGCGCCATGCGTTCCCAGATAGCTCGTTGAACGAGCTAAAAGGGTCGTCAGGGAAGAAGCCCGCGGCACAGTTCTAGGCTAGGCCAAGTTTAGCCAACCGACAGTGGCGCGTAAGCTGCCCGCGCAAAGTCGCGCGTGAAAGCGCCCTTGTCTCACATGCGGCGTGCGGGGCGGGCGGCCCGCGTAAGTTGCGGCGTGAGGTCGTTGGGTCATCCCGCGTAACACCCGTTTTTGATCACCGCTGAACTGGGGAATGGGCCTGGCATCGCTCGGACGTGTGCATTTTTCTCTCGACGAGGACCCTCGAGTTGCCTCTTGCGACGAAGCACACGCACAAATCCGAAAAAGGCACGGGGAATGGACGTCCGAGCGATGGCTAGCGGGGGGCCGCGCAGGTCATGGCAAAGCTGTTGCTGCATGCCTCGACGCAGACGGACGGGCGCTCGGCCGAGTTCGGGCGCCGGCCGCGGTGACGTCGCGCCGCCGGGCCCACGGGGCGGCGCCGCTGCTGGGAGCCGGGGGCAGCGATTGGGGGGGACAGGCTCAGAGGGGGGTCGAGATTTTTGGGCGCTTTCGGGGGGGGGGAAGGGTTCGAGGTTTTCGGGTCTGTTCGTCGGTTCTCGGCGGCTTTTCCAGCCTCGGGACGCTCTCCCGCAGCTGCGCCTCGCAGAGGGCATTCCGGGGGTGCCCAGATCGTCCAGAGCGGCCGCCATGACCCAGAAACCAGCAGGGTATAGGCTCAAGGAGGGGAACGCATCGATCGCCCATGCATCACCGATAGGGGCCCGCTAGACCCAACCTGCCTGGGAGCGTGGGTGCTTGCTATCGGAAAGAGCGTGTTCTACCGCTGCTGGCGGAAAACCGGGGGGGGTCACTACCGGTTCGAACCCCTCCCCCCCCCCCCCCTCCGGAAAACCGGGGGGGGTCACTACCGGTTCGAACCCCTCCCCCCCCCCCCCAGCTCATCATGAAAAGGGGGGGGGTCACTACCGGTTCGAACCCCCCCCCCCCTCGAAAACCGAGTGGGGGTGCGGACAGTGGTGGGGACGGTGTTGGTGGGGACAGTGGTGAGGGGACAGCGGGACAGTGGTGGGGACAGTGGGGGGACAGTGGGACAGTGGTGGGGACGGTAGTGGTGGGGACAGTGGTGGGGACAATGGTGGGAACAGGGGGGACAGTGGACAGTGGTGGTGACGGTGGTGGTGGGGACAGTGGTGTGGGGACAATGGGAATGAGGTGGAAACAGTGGGACAGTGGAGGGTACAATGGTGGTGGGGACAGTGGTGAAGGCGGTGGCGAGGACGGCGGTGGGACAATGGGACAGAGGTACAGTGGGGACAGTGGTGGGGACAGTGGGGACAGTGGTGGGAACAGTGGGACAGCTCAGTGGGACAGCGGAGGAGTCAGTGGGACAGTGGGGACAGTGGGGATAGTCGGGCAGTGGTTGGGGCCGTGGAGACAGTGGGGAGAGTGGAACCGTGGTGGGAACAGTTCTGGGGACAGCGGGGACAGTGCGACAGTGGTGGGGCCACTGGTGGGGACAGTAGGGGCGGTGGTGGAACCAGTGGGGACAGCGGTGGTGAGGACAGTGGTGCTGGGAACACCAGTGGGGGATGTGATGCGGACGGTGGTGGGGACCGGGAGTCGTTTGCTGGCGGTGAGTAGGGGGGGGGGGGGGGGGGGGGGGGGGGGTGCGAACCGGTAGTGACCCCCCCCGGTTTTCCGGATCCGGAGGGGGGGGGGGGGGGGGGGAGGGGTTCGAACCGGTAGTGACCCCCCCCGGTTTTCGAGGGGGGGGGGGGGGGGAGGGGGGGGGGGGGTTAGGGGAGGGGGGGGGTTTTGCCAGGGGATTTCGGAGGGGGGGGGGGGCGACCCCCGGGCTCCGGAGGAAAAGGTAGGCAATTTTCCACAGTAAAGCGGCGGTGGATCACGCTCTCTCTGCTATCGGGAACCCATCGCCGATCTATCGGCGAGGCATCGCCGATTCCAGGTCGATGTTCCCCCCCGGTGCCAGTCCTGTCGCTACCCCTCATCGGAGCGGGGGGTTGGGGGACTGGCGGAGGAGCACACGCACCACCGCCATCGAGAGCCCTTTTGCGTGCCACCGCCTGGGGGTCGGCCCCCGCCGATGAGTTCTTGGTGGCGGTGATCCCTGGAGGAGGAGGAGGAGGAGGAGGAGGAGGAGGAGGAGGAGAAGGAGGTGGTCCTTGGAGGAGGAGGAGGAGGAAGAGGAGGAGGAGGAGGAGGAGAAGGAGGTGGTCCCAGGAGGAGGAGGAGGAGAAGAAGAAGGAGGAGGAGGAGGAGAAGGCCTGGTCTGGCCGCAGAGTTCCTCCTTCTTCCTCCTTAAGACGGGAACGACAGGGCGGGCCGGTTCAGCGAAGGAAACATCGACCTGCAGTCGGCGACACATCGCCGATAGGTCGGCGATGTGTCCCCGACGGCGAGCCCGCGCGTTCTCGGGCGGGGTGGACTATCGGGACCTTATCGGTGATCAAGGGGGGCGATCGGGTGTCGATGGATCCCCCATGAGCCTAACACCCCCCTCACGTTGCCTCTGATTCTCCTCCTCACCAGCACCATCACCCCCCCTCATCCGCCCTCCTCCTCCACCTCCTCCTCCTCCTCCTCCTCCTCCTCCTCCCTCTTCCTCCCCTCCTCCTCCTCCTCGGAGGAGGAAGAGGAGGAGGAGGAAGTGGAGGAGGAGGAAAGGGAGGAGGAGGAGGAGGAGGAGGAGGAGGAGGAGGAGGGCGGAGGAGGCCCCCATGAGTTGCCACCGAACCAGGGGGGTCTGGGCCTCGACCGCGCCCTCCTCCGAGCCCGTCGTGCCCACGCCGGCCCCGGCAGTGCCCGCGGCCTCGCGGGCCGCCCCGGCGTCGGCCCTCGAGGCCTCGGCGGCCTCGGCGTGGGCCGCGCGCGCTCCACGCGCCCGCGGGCGGGCGACCTGACGCTGCACGGCCAGCGATGGGGGAGGGGCAAACTGAGTCAGGGCCACGGCCAAGAGGAGGAGGAGGAGGAGGAGGAGGAGGAGGAGGAGGAGGCGGAAGGAGGAAGGAGGGAGGAGGGAGGGAGGGAGGGAGGGAGGGGCTCTCGGGGGGATGCTTTGACCCCCAATCGCCTTCTCATCGCGGATAGGGCCCGATAGCCCACATCGCCCAAAAGTGCGCGGGCTCGCTATCGGGGGCCTATCGGCGATGTGTCGCCGATTAGAGTTCGATGTTCCCCCCCTGCTCGCCCGCCTCCCCCAACCCCACTTGCGGCTCTGGGTGAGTCTACAGACTGAGCCGCTTGGCTGCGCATCGAGTGCCAGGACCATGGTACTTTGCAACGACTTGGCGCAGTGATTCGAGGCCACTTTGAGGCCGCAGAGGCCGATCGCAACCCATAATGGCGAGCACGTGTCAAAGACGTGCAAGGTTTTTGCTCCTGTGGCATCTAATTCCCCAAAGCGGCTGCCCGCTGGGAGGCCCAAGTTCCACACTTGCTACATCACGGTGACCATGGGGCTACGACATGAAACAAATTGGCTGTGCCAAACAAAGCGTTTCGCGTGAGATGGCCCCACAATTTGGGCGCGAACGGGCCCATTTCATACCTTATGGCGAATTTCCTGCTGCGGGGCCAAATCCGGTGACCATTGGGCTCTGGGGGCTTTTAACGTGCGCTGGGGTAGAGATGGGGGATTATTAATACCCCCCTGCTCGCCGCCGGCAGACGACGACGAAGAGGAGGAGGAGGATGAGGAGGCGGAGGACGACGACGACGACGACGACGAGGTTCGGATGGTTCGAATCTCCCCCTTGCGCCAGGAGGTAAGGCCCTCCCTCCCCACCTCACCACACACACAACAAAGAAAGTGCTCCTTGATAGGTCCCGGCAATAATGCGAACATGCCTGTAATGCGCTTTGGCGGCACCCCTTGGGAGGCCCAAATTCCATTGTATCGCGGTGATCAGGGGTCTCCTGGAAGCGAGGCTGGGTGTGAGTGGCTTTGAGTGAGAGCAAATCTGAGTATGAGGGAGCATGGGGGACAGGGAATGTGGGTATAAGCGGGCCTGAGTACGAATGGAATTGAGAGCGAGCAGGTCTGATTGCAAGTGCGTCTGAGTGTGTGAACGGGTCTGGGTATGAGGCGGATGTGAGAGTTATTGGGTCTTACTATGAATGGTTATGAGTGTCAGTGAGCATGGGCATGAACAAATCCTACTTTGAACATGCTCGAGTATGAAGGCTTCTGAGCATGACTAAGTCCGAGTTCAAGTGGGTCGGAGTGTAGGGCGGTCTGCGCGTGAGAGAGCTTGTGTGTAAGCGAGGGGGCAGAATGGGAGTGAGTGAGGAGGTGTACGTAGCGATCGCACGATCACCAAGATCCCCAGATTTAGATTGTGGAGAACAACACACAAACGTATTTATGATTTTGAGAATGAGGGGCCCCAAGCTATGGCACACAGTTGCGCACTATAGTAAGCAGGCCATTGTTTGGCTGTGACTGACAAGATGAACAATTTCCGAAATGTTCTGCAAGACATCGGCACCTTTGGTCTTCACGCAGCCAGAGCCAGCCGATGACCGAATTTCGAGTCGAATACAACCGACATACCATGGGCCCAAACCAGGTTGATTGAACTTGTTGCCGACTCGCGTATCCCCAGCAGCTCATTCAGAAGCGATCCCCAGCCGAGTTGCATTGATCAAATTAAAGTTAAAGGGCATGTCGTGAAACAACGAGGTGAGGAAGCCGTCGAACCGAGAGGATGGGGATCAGCTTGAGCATACTAGGAATCAACCATCGAGGGTTTCGCGGAATATGTGGCCATGTTGGTTCAAGCCGTTTTGGTACAAGTTTCCAGTTCAAGCGGCAGTTCATGATTCGTGCCGTTCGGATTCAAAGCCGCTTTGGATGTTAGACATCGGGCGAGGATCTCGATTCACTGTCACTGATTTCGATGTGGCCGTAAAGAAGTGTGGGCGGACAACGAATTGGAGCGCAGCTTTGCAATTGTTCCACGAGGTATCCCATCAACGTGCTGAACTCGACAATCGTTGCTACATTACCACTGCCAGTGCATGTGGAAAGGGCAAGCAATGGAAATTGGCGTTGTGGCTTCTTGGCGGAATCATTGAAGCGACAATGGAGGCCAACATCATCTATCGCGTGCCAGAGGGGCCATTGACTGCGCCAGCTGGGCCCGCGGTGGCGGCGGCTCCGCGGCCACCTGCCCTGAGAGAGTCCCGCAAGTGGCCCAAAAGGCCCCCAGAGCGCTCCTCTGCCTCGCAAGTGGGCTCCCAGACGGCCCGAGAAGGCCCCATTCAGATTCCGCAAGGCTCCCGTATGGCCTCCGAGAGAGCCAGGAGAACGAAAAATTACGGTTCCCCAAACAGTGTTTACATTTAGGGGCTCTTACTTCTGATCTAAGGAACTGGGCCGTGTCTTCGATCTGGCGGCTATGTGGACGAAGTCGCCGCCCCGTCGACGCCTCGTCGCTGCCCATCGTCTGGGTCGTGCCTTCGGTCTGGAGGATATGTGGCCGCAGTCGCTGCCCCGTCGCCGTTCGTCGCCGCCGATAGCTTGCACCACGTAGATTGCACAGCACAATATACACTGCGCAGCATGAAGATTTCACCACATATACTGCACCACATCGATTGCACCACGTGATCTGCACGACATGAATTGCACAACATAAATATATATATATATATATATATATATATATATATATTATATATATATATATATTTGCACCACGGTTGCACAAATACATTGCCAGAAAACACACATAGTTTGGGGCACACGCAGGCTAACATTTGTGTTTGGGTTCGTCCGTACTACCTCTTGCGATCGCTTCTCCAGCCACACACCGCCAAACCCGCCCCGAGAAACATTTCCAATTCTTCTGGAGGGCGCCCAGGGAGCTCTCTCAAGAGAGATTTTTTTACGAAGGCCCCTGAGACTCTCGAGTCGGCCGCGGGGACGCCCAAGATGGCCGAACAGCCCACCAAGACGGGCGGCTCTGGTAGGCCTTTAGAAAACACCAGATGATATTGGAAGAAAGCATCCTTTCATTGTGTTTGCTTAGGCGTGGCAACACATGATGGGTTGTGCCCCATGGGAAAAATTGGAATAACCAATCTCCGCAACCCTTGGAGCACGTCTCGCGCAGGAGGGGTTACAGAAAAATCGTTCCCTGATGCGGCCGCGGCCACCAGGGAGAACGCTGTTTACCTTCGGCCCCTCCCGCGCCGAGCGTGCCCCAAGAGGTGTGGGATGTGCTGTTAGTTCCGATCATCTTGGGCCCCCTCCTCCATTCTCAAGCGAGTTGAGGGACGTAAGGAGTGGAAGCGCGCGTGCGCCCGCGGCCGCGGCGGCTCAAGCGGCCGGCCGCCCAAATATGATTGTGTCTCATTGCGAGGCACACAATCGCTATGGAGACCAAAAGGATATTCCTATTGTTTAAGATGGCACATCCTCTCCTACTGGGACTATCGCTACTACGGCACAACAGAGCTGCAGCTTGGCTTCGCCTCAGGCGAAGCTGCTGGCTGGGCCTCCCAGCCCCCTTTCAAACTTGGTAGCGGAGCTGGCCTATGGTGGTCAGCTCATGCTCTACTCCTCACCATCCACGGTATTATCTGGTGGACTACGGACATGGTGGAACATCAGGGTGCACTGGGTTTGCGCGGAGGAATGTACATAGCCACGCAGTACCGCAAGGACACTTGCAGCGATACTTCTGTTCAAGCGGAGGTCTCGTACTTACATCATTCCTCCCTGCGTTTCTACACTCCTGAAGTCCACCCACCTACTCCAAGTAGAAATTTGTCCGATGACATACTGCATGGAAGCATGCGATACGAAATACTGCCGCCTCAGACCCCACGCAGACTTACGACTACTCAACGGAAGTCCCAACCGACTACATCCGACTACGACCCAGGCTGCACCTCTGCAACGAGGTTTGGGAGGTCTCGCACGGACCATAGCCATGAGTGTCCTTCCAGCAGTTATTCAGTTTGGCATCAACATAAGTGGCCGCCACACTGACGGCGCCACTTACATCATGTTCCTCTGAAGCACGAAGTTCGAGAACTTAGAAAAGGAGCGCCAACTCAACTCTGGTACGGCTCTCATTGATTTCCGAGTCCATGCGGGCGAACGTATCGACCAGACGTTAGCACCGTTTGAGAAGCCCGCTACGAAGCTGAAACAGCCGGCGGCAACATCCCCATTTTCCAAAACCTAACAGCGATTATATTAAGAGCCCTTGGAGTGAGGACATCGCGTGCACAACAACTCCTGCAGTCTCTAAACCACCATATGCCGAGAGACCAACAACAATGTGACGCTCTACTTGAACGCATGTGGTCATATGCTCACATTGTTGAGAGAACCCCCGGCAATAGTGGTGGCATCTTCAGTCACGATCACCGAACCGAGACCTTCCACGTGGAGGCGAACGCAGGGCAACCTGCCGACAACGTCTGGAATGATGATCCACAACCAACTGAGACCACCACACTGCTGGCTCAGAATGGTGGAACGGCCTCGGGGTCGCAAGACTCCTGGGCCAGGCTTCGGGGACCACCCGACGCGGTCTCCCCCATACAAGCCATGACCTTGATGGGTTCAGCGGGGCAGCCCGCCGAGTCCGATTTCGACTCCGGTACTGATACAGATACGTCGTCAGCTGACGAAGCTACCGCCCTTGATTACTCTGATATGCCTACATACCTTACTGCAGAGCAACAAGCTCAATGGTTATTTGGGGGCTATCAAAAACAAGCGTCGCTGGCGGAGATTCATGAAGAAACCAGTCCGAAAGGTAAGGCGTATCGCACGACGATCACTTAAAGGAAAAGGCAAGGGCCGAAGTAAAGGTAAAGGTAAGCGTCGGCGATTGCATGGTAGAGGCATATGAGCATTCTTAGCATCTCTTACTGGACTTCCGCATGAAGAAATGCCCTCAGGTGCTGGCAGAAACCGCAGGCATACATCAGGCAAAGGTAAAGGGCAACGGGGAAACCCAAAGGATGCTAACGGTAAAACTTTTGAGTGCGACATATGCCACAGCACACAACATGTCCTATGCGAATGCCCTCACGGCGATGGAAGAGGCAGGGGTCCGTCAATACATCTGGCTCAAACTGACTCCGACATGCAGTACGTTGACTGGGGGTCACTTTTAGCTGACCCTGCCAATAGCTCAGCCAGAATTGTTACTTCCATGGCTGCCAGATATCTCAGCGCCAGCATGACCCTCGAGAATTACGCCGACAAGCTGTTCGAGGGCGCGTTCACTAGCCATAACGACATCGATTGGCAGAATGGCTGGGCATACCCACCGCGGGGCAACCTGCAGATATTGAGTCCGTCGAGAACTTCCACGCGCCCCCCGAAGGAGATGTTGGCATGGCGGGGACACCCGCGGATTCAGAATCTACCATTCCTGCCACAGACGAAGAAATACAGGCGATGCTCTATCCTCGGGTGATTCGAAATCCGACATGGAATTAATCGATGGTGATCCTCTGCGGGGAAGCCCGCGAGACGCCGGTGATCTATCTGGGCGCATTCAATCCGGAAGGGTCATAACGAAGAATGTCAATACACTTCTGTTGCTTCAGATCGGCCCACGAGCCGCCAGGAGCGATCGATAAGCCGCCCAGTCTGGAGGAAAAAGAATTATCGCGACGACGACGAGGACGAATAACGGGAAGATAGCGACCGCATGATACGTCGCGGTCGGGTTCCCAGTCGCACACCAGATCGCACGCGCGCCCGCTCCAGCGGCGCTCTAGCGGTCGCCAGCGCCCTCATCCCCCTGATGCGGGGCCCCCGAGGGCCCCGCCATGGCTAATAGACCTGGCACCCCCCCAAGGAGGGGGCGCCTGCGGGGACACCCGCCTCAAGATAATCAACCGCGAGAAGAAGAGCATCCGAAAAGGTAGAATACAGCGCCTTAAAGGTTACACGGAAGCTGATTTGGCTCGTCAGTACATACCCCCAGATCAGATGCCATAATGGCTGGATCAGGGTCGGAAGGAGCATCAGATCCGGCAGTGGAATTCTCTTCGCAAGATCAAACGAGACGAGAAAGGCAAGATCATACCCTCGACAAGGGCAGGACCTGTCAATCACAAGATAAGATGGTCACGCGCAACCTCAAGAGGGCCATTATCGAGGAACGGAAGCTCTACAGAAACGTATGTCGCTCATGCCCCGAACACGCTGACCATAGGCTTCGCTGCCCCATGAGACGCCCATCAAGAAGCCCGAACTTTGGAGGGACACCGTGGGTTTGGTCTCGCGGTGATGGTCGGGGTCACTGCACCGACCCCAACGCAACGCCATATGAGGAGCAGCTGACCGAGAGCGACTACGACCACGCCACAGCTGATGAAATAGCCCGCGCAAACCTCAGATGGATGAATTTGATGCCCACTCACTTCTTGGCGCAGTTCAATCGCGATTGGCACGCAGGGAAACCTGCTGAATACAATCAGAAGAAGAAGATAAACAAGAAGCTGATGAAGATGAAGATGATGAGATGGCTGAAAAAGTAGATCTCACGGACACGGCCCCTGAGGGGTACGCGTCGGACGATTCGGGCATTACGGACGTCACGTGTCAGACGAATACTCCGATCGATCCCAGGTATGTTGTCACTGAGAAGATGGATCTCTCCCCTGAAAGGCGGATGGCTTAGCGCGCTCAAGGTGCGGGCTGGATAAAAGGCAAGCATAGTCGAAAGACGCGGCGCCGCTACATACCTTCTCACAGGTAAACAAAAGACCACTATTAAGAACATGGCCCTCAAGTCACCAGATGAACGCGATTTGAACCCTGACCGAGGCCCCATACGTCATGGACCAGGGACACCGGCAGGGGCCACGGCTAAGGCAACTCCTAAGGCGAAGCCAGAGGCGATCATCGATATTATTCCATCTTCGGGTTCATCAAGTCCATCGCTTGGTCCTGATCAGTTCAGACCTAAAAGAAAGAAGAGTAAGAACCCAGATGATCCCACCCCTGGAGACAGCACACAGCAGCGATCTGCGGGGCAACCTGCTGACAGACAACGACCCAGAGGACCAGCAGCGGCCGCCGCTGCAGCTGCATTTCACGGAACCAGTACCCCTTATTCCAAAGGAACTTGCGCCACGTCGCGGCCCCACACCAGATCGGACGCACAGGACAGGATGGGTGCCCACGCTGGAAGGACGAACAA